ACCCTAATTCAGTGTTCAGAATTTGAGCCTCAGCACTGAAACAGATACATATTTCAAAGTGACCGTTTCATTACTAAAACGTTTAAATCCTACTCCTGCCTAAGTGCACTGAAGAAGGAAGCATTGACTCATTCATAGGCTAGTTCCATGTCTCTTGCAACATGGGTAGAAGAGGAGAGCTTAAGTTTGTTTTCAGAGAGACAGTTCTAAGGGAGAAATAGGTGAATTTATACAAGTGGATGAAGTAACAAATGAAGTGATTTGTCATCCATTTGAAACAATTACTTGTACCTAATTTTGCAAGCTTGCTTTTTTATGATGAGCCATAAAGTCAGTTGTATAAGTTACTAATAGACAAATGGGGTACTCATGAACCTAATTCTATAGTTTACCTTCTTAATGAGACAGCAGGCATACAGACAAGTTCCATTCATCATAATTGTAATAAAATTGCAGAGTTGTAACCCTCTGTAATTGTGAAACTCAAGTCTAAATGACAAAACAATAATAACCAGAGCTGTCATTTAATAAATCACTAGTAGAACTAGACAATATCTTTCACAAATTGAAGACCTTACCTGTTTCAAGACTGCAACTCCATTCCTTTGGTACAAGTCTTATTGGGTCTGGCCTACACTGGAGTTTTAGCCAGCAGTGTAATGCACACGTGCAAACCACTAGTGTACATGTGATTTACACTTGTGTAACAACTTATGCTAGCGTAAATGGTGAACTTTAGGGGTTTGCAGCCGTACAGCTACACTGCTGGCTAACCATTGAGGGTAGCCAATGCCCAAAACATTAGAGCAGATTGGAGGTGATAGAGTCAAAGCTGTCTAGTGGGGAGAAGAATGGAGTGGGGCTTCTTGAGACACCAAGACTCCTGGATTCTTTCCCTGTTCTACCAATGATTTGTTGTATGACCTTGGGCAAGTCATTTTTAACTTCATTATCAATTAAATAATGACAATATTTCCCTATCTTCCAATAGTGTTGAGGCTTAATGTTTTTAATGTATTGTTTGTACATCATCTTGCACAATGAGGCCTAACCTAACCTACTGCAATATACACATTGTATAATAATAAAGATTTTGAGATCCTCAGGGCACTGTGGAAGTGCAGAGTATTTTATTACTATTATTTGTCCTGGTTGGACATGTTTCCAGTGTGAATTGTGGTATTATTTGCATATGCCAAATAGTTTAATTTTTGAAACATAACTACAGTCCCTGGGAAAAGAGCAAGTTTTTATCCAGAGTTACAGGAATTGTACCCCATTTCAATGTGAAATTTAAAAGATCAATTTTTAATTCAATATATATCATGGGCAGGAGAGGTTTTATACTGTTTGTTCTCTGACTGTGTAGCCTTAGGTTTAGAGTTGTCTGTCAGGAATAGTGGGTGAACTCCTGACCCTATTGAAATCAATGGCAAAACTCCTATTGACTTAAGTCAGGATTTCATCCAGTAGCCAGGGGTAGGGCTGTAGGGCACGGGCCCTAACCACTCACTTGGCAGACAACTTTTAGGGCTTCTTCAACAAGTCACGATGACTGCTAGAATATCTGTTTTCTTTCGGAGTGTTTTTATAAGTGAGTGCCATAACTTGTTTTATTTTGCTGAAACTGCTAGTTTTTCCATTACATGGTTTATTCTTGCTTTTATTGTAGCAACAACAGAGCGTTTCTTCCTGATTACTGTATCTTTAAACAATAAATGTAATGCAAATATTAAATACCATAAAGTGATTTAGCTTTCACCCTCTACTCTTTGTGCTATCATCCGGAGGTCTGAAAATTTGTCTCTATCAATAGTGGCCTTTTCAATCTTTCCTCACCTGCACATGGTGTTTCCAGCTTACAAGGATAAAAAAATTCCTCCTTATGATTCACTTCTATGAAGATACTCATAGGAAATTAATTCATCTTAATTTATTCATACAATTTTTGTTCCATCATGGTGTGTTAAGTATTGTTGTGCAAGGGAAGTAGTCTTGCTGTTATCTTTACCTTTGATATCCCTTTTCTGTCATCGCTAAGTTAATGGTCTGGGGCAGAGAACATGAAGTATTTGTACTGCAAGATGTGTATTGCACTTTTGAGTTCTATAAAATAAATAACTCAAATCCTGGAGGTCCTACAAAATTTTACACTTAAATGATGGCTATTTCTTCTTCTAGAAGACCCAGGCTATTTACTAAGTTGGAGTGAACAAAAGCTGCATTCATAAGTGTGCTTGAACTGAACCTAATTCCATTACAGTGCATACAATATAGTGCTGGTCTGCTAAAGATTAAAAAGAACACTAGAAAGGTGGGATACTCTGTGTCTAATGGCTTTGAATACTGTTTATGGCTTTTTCTCTTTGTTGGACGAAGAGTTGGTAAGTTCACTAATGCATATTAAATGAAAATGTATGAGGCTGAAATATCCCAGAGAGAAGCTAACATTGATTTATTACCAGTACATTTGATTACGTATCCAGGAGTCAACACAAAAACTCCATCAGTAGTAAATATGCATTCCAGTACAGTTTCTGCCTAGTTTAAAGAATTTACACACTGGGCTATTTATATCACCTCTACTGGAGCAGGCTTGTCTGAAAAGTTCTATGTATCTGCACAGCCTAATATATTGAAATATTCATCTGATCCCAAAAAAGTCAACACAGAAACATTTTCACAGCTCAGAAATGACCTCTGGAATAATTTTGCTGAACTGAAGCTGTAATACCAGTTTAAGAATAAGGGGATGATTATTCCCATTCTCACTTGGATGATTTTTTTTTCTTTTGTGGGGGAGGGCAGAGATTCTTCTGAAGCCCTTTTGGAACCCTGATATTCTCTATGCTTTCCCCTATTTTACAATTTCTACTCTTAGCAGCTGCAATGCAGGGGTGTGTGTGTGTGTGTGTGTGTGTGTGTGTGTGTGTGTGTGTGTGGCCAACAAGGACTAGATGGGGCTCTCTTGCAGCTTGTTACCTTTTGCTTCTTAATGGTCAGGTGGGATACTGTCAGGATTGAAAGGCTTTCTATAGCAGTGCCTAAACCATTAGAGGGACACAATTCCCTCACTTATTCAGATTCTCACCTTTGTGGATTAGCCTGGATTTGTACTTATTCTTCAGCACGCTCCAGCTTCCAACTTTATGTGGGTGATGTATTTTAAATAAATAAAGACAGACCCAAGATGAAAAGCACTTTAGATATACCATAGACTAAATGTACAGTCTTCCTCCAGAAGTGAATGTATAACAAGGAACTTGGTATGTATAGGGTTAGCTATGCAGAGAAAGATTTTCAAAGGCACAAATATCTCCATTTTCATGACTATTAACCCTTCCTAATTCTTAAATATTCAGTGTATTCTGAAAGGTGTAGAGATAGTCAAAGCTTCAAAATTTGGATCTAGATTTCATACATTCTACAGTTCAGGGCTGTTTTTATGTGAGGTTTTGGCTTGGCCATTTACAAATATTACAATCCCTTTGCAAAATGTAGGTATTTGAACCCCAAAATTCAAAGGAGTTTTGGATTAATGAATTTGGTTTGGGCCTATCTCCAGTAATCTTTACTGAAAAACAACCTGGGTTAAATTCAAACCTATGAATTTACCTAATTCTTTTGTGAACCTAGTTATTCTTTTGTCTTCACAATATTCCCTGCCAACAGATTGACTGTGTGTCGTGTGAATAAGCACTTCTGCTTGTTTGTTTTAAACCTGCTGCCTATTAATTTCATCAGGTGACTCTTGGTTCTTGCGTCATGTGAAAGGTGAAATAACACTTCCTTACTAATTTTCTCCATACCAGTCATGATTTTTGTTGCCCTTCTCTGTACTTTTCCCAATTCTACTAATGTCTTTTTTGAGATGGGGTGACCAGATCTGCACACAGTACTGTATAGTGTTTCATTGAGATGTTTTCTTTTAATGTTATGGACAATTCTGAATTTTAATTCCCTATCCCCGAAACGTCTAATTTTATTAAGTTTGGGTTAACAACTGCCTGTGGCATTCAGCACTATATAGAGTTAATTCTGAAATTTTCTTACTTAAAACACTGCTGTAATAGAAATGGTATTTATATAAAATAGGAAACATGATTGTGAAATTTAACTATCTTCCCTTTGGTTTTGAAATAAGAAATGTGTCTAGTTAAATGATCACAAACTAAAACCCTGCATGTGAACAGCTCTGGAAGGGCTGAGGGGGGATGTCTAGGTCCTGGTTCATCGATCACTGTTAATATCTGACAAATTTTTAAAAATGGGTCTTCAGGCCTGTCAGTTAGGGTCTCTGACCTTTCACATACAGTTTTTTCAAACACCCACCTCCTGAAATCTCCCACGCCCTAGTTCTGCTACTGCTGTTACCTAGCTCCACTTTCCGACTTTTGTAAAGTAAGAGGGAGAAATAAAGTCCAGGGAGGACAGGGAGCAGAACCTTACTCTTCTGCCATATTTAATTTAAGGGACCTGAACGTTGAAGGTGGAAGGGATAATGGGGCGGAGGGAATTAAACCGCGACCGAGCCAGAAACCCACACACTACAGCCAAAGCCCTAAAGTCTAGCAAGAAAGTTTAATTCTGGATTATTAATTTGGCAGCGGGCTGCACATCCCTATTGCCCTGGGCACCCTTGTGCTGTTACCACCAGCGGGGCTCCCCCTTCACCATTCCCTGCCGCCGGGAACAGCCGGGTCGGCGCTCTGCCCTGGCGGGGTTCCCCGGGGCCAGCCCGGCGGGGTTTCTGCGGCCCGGGGGCAAACGAGTGAGTGCACCTTCCCGGGGGCTCTCCGGGCACGCGGGAGCCGGGAATCCGCGCCCTGTTAAGACCCAGCGATGCGACCTGCCGCAGCTGGGAGCTGGAGCAGCCGCTAACCTGTAGGCGCCAGCGGCCCTGCCCAGGGGAGAGCCCGACCTGTGGCCGCCGCCTGCTTTGGCTGGGTCCCACCATGAGACGGCTGCCGCATCGGCCCGAGCCTTGCCCCAGCCAGGAGCACAGCTGGATCCCCTCCCGCTGCGTTCATGGACGTCCGAGCCGCCCGGAGAGCCGGCAGCGGGAAAAGCGAGCCCAGGTCTGCGCCGTGGCAGGGACCCGCTGCCCTGGGGGGCCGGGGGCGCGCGGCTGGGCTGGGGGAGCTCGAGAGGCTGGGCCCAGGGGCCTGGCCACAGGTGTCACCTGCAGTCGTGGCGTTGTGTCTTAGAAGGCAAAGCTAGTAGTGGGGGGGCGGACATCTTGCTGGGATTACTGGTGGCACCTTAGAGACTAACACATTTATCTGAGCATAAGCTTTCCTGGGCTACAGCCCACTTCTTCGGATGCATATAGAATGGAACATATATATATATATACACACACATATAGAGAGAGCCTGAACAGGTGGGAGTTGTCTTACCAACTCTGAGAGGCCAATTAACTAACTAAAGTTTTTTTTTTTTTAAGTGATAATCAAGATAGCCCAGTACAGACAGTCTGATAAGAAGTGTGAGAATACTTACAAGGGGAGATAGATTCAATGTTTATATATGTGTGTGTATGTGTATATATATGTGTGTGTGTGTTTGTGTGTGTATGTATGTATATATGTGTGTATCTCCTCAATATATGTTCCATTCTATATGCATCCGAAGAAGTGGGTTGTAGCCCACGAAAGCTTATGCTCTAATAAATTTGTTAGTCTCTAAGGTGCCACAAGTACTCCTGTTCTTTTTGCGGATACAGACTAACACGGCTGCTACTCTGAAACTTGCTGGGATTGTTCTTGGAGCTTGTGTGCAATAGGTAGCCCATACCGTCACCCCCCAATCCATGGAAACTCCCAGTGCTGCCTCTGGGGAGAAAGAGACTATGTTGTCCCAAACTTTTTAAAGCGTTTTCTGTCCTGATTTTGAAAACCATTGTAATGACATTGTCGCTTGATGGCACCTGGTAGCCATTCCAGTTTTCTCAGGCACTCCTTTGTAAAGGAAACCTGTGCCATAGAGTCACTTAATTTTGAAGCTAGGTTATGGTATCTTAATGTCAGGTGAAATGGAGACTGTGTGTTTGCTGGATAAACAATCCTTGTTTATACCCAATTGGTGTTGTATTCTTCTATTTTGACATATAGTTCCTGCTTCCTCAAAGAAGACCGATTTGAGATTTGTTTTCTGCTCTTGAGCTGGCCTGAGATGCCATCCGTTTAAATAATAATAAAAACTCCATGAGATGAGGAGTCCCTGTTTTGGGCTAACAAGGAAATCAAGCTCATGTGATCTTTCAGTTGTTTTAACTCAATTTATGAACTCTGATGCCTTCATAAAACTGATTAACTTCTAGTTTGTGTGTGTGTGTGGGGGGGTACTTTGGTTAACAAGTGAATCTGTGTTTAAATAATTAGCTAGGATCTGGAATCTTATGTGTTCCAGTCTAAAAAATAGCATATCTTATTTACCTCTGAGAATAGACTCCCCACCGAATATGAAGATTCTTGAAATAAACAGTTTGTTATACAATCAGAGTCAATGTAACAAACTTAAAGCTATTGTCCTTCAGCAGACAAGGAAGACATTTACTGATAAAAGATCAGTCTGGGGTACATTATAAAACATCAGATTCTAGGCTATTAAGTGGTTTCAAAGTGCATCTACAGAGTTGTCTATTTTTTACCTCTTTCCACACATGAGTAACTTGCACTGGGCTTAGTGGGATTTATATGTGCAAACTGAGGAGAGAATAACTTCAATACAAGATTTAAATTGATCTAGAAAAACCATGACAGAAAGTGTTTCCTGGGTTTTAGAGCATACGTCTTAAGGGCTCTCAATCTGCCACGGAACTTCCATTAATGTTGGTTAGAGTTGCTGGCGAGGACCAAGGGAAGTGGTATGTGGCACTTAGAGCAGTGAAGCGACTGAGTGATTAGCAAATTTACACTTCCTATAGAACCATTGTGAGGAGCTAAAAACGCCGAATGTTTTAATGTGTTTATAACAGCCTTGCACAATTCTACTGGCATATTCTCCTTGGACAAGAATTTTTCTAACAGGCTACTAAAATGTCGGGGGGAGGGGAGGTTGGTTTTTTTCATCCTTAAGGGTAGATGAGTAGATTTTATGCCTGGGCTAATACATTTTCATGATGGTATTTTGCAAGGCTGTTACATAATGAAGATTGATTAATGTGATAGTGGCTTAGTGTGGTTGTGACCACATTACACAGGCATTTGTTGGAGAGTAAGTTTTGGGCACAAGAAGGAATGTTTATTCAGAAGCATCGGGTAATTTTGTTTAAATTTTGGGAGACAAGGAAGGATGTGCCAGAAATCACACTGACTCAGCTGCTGATGCTTTCAGTACATCCAGTATACTCAATTCTTGTTTCCTTCCTGTAGCTACTGGACCTAACTTTCATACTCTGACCTAACATATTTTGCAAGGTACTTTTAAGTACCCTGGATATTTGGATTTTCATACTGTAAGTCACTGAAAATTACATAATGTATTATGTCTCCGTTGAGGGCAACTGCACATTTATTCACCCTTTGCGGTCTAGCAAGGACACCCAATTTTAGTTTTTTTTTTTTGCTCCCCACCTGATACCAGTAGCATGCCAGCAAGAGAAAGATGAAAGGAAGTTCAGGTCCTCTGCTTAGCAGGGAAAGGGGGCTAATTAGTAATAACAGACAACATAAGAAGGCTGAGGTGTTTAATGCCTATTTTGCTTCAATTTTCACTGAAAAGGATAATTGTGAGCAGATACTTAACACAATTAATATTAACAACAAGGGGGGAGACACAGAAGCCCACAAAGGGAAAGAACAGGTTAAAGAATATTTAGTTGTTAGATGTATTCAAGTCAGCAGGGCCTGATGAATTTCATCTTAGAGTACTTTAGGAACTAGCTGAAGCAATCTCAGAAACATTAGCAATTATCTTTGAGAACCATGGAGCACAGGTAAGGTCCCAGAGGATTGCAGAAGTCCAAACATAGTACCTGCCTTTAAAAAGGGGAACAAAGAGGACCTGGGGAACTGTAGACCAGTCAGCCTAACTTTGATACTTGGAAAGATTCTGTAACAAATTATTAAACTGTCAAATTGTAAGTGCCTAAAGGATAATCGGGTTATAAGTAGGGCCCTACCAAATTCACGGTCCATTTTGGTCAATTTCACAGTCATAAGATTAAAAAAATTGTAAATGTAATGATTTCAGTTATTTAAATCTGAAACTTCACAGTGTTATAATTGTAGGGGTCCTGACCCAAAAAGGAGTTGTGAGGGGGGTGCGGTACTGCTACTCTTACTTATGTGCTGCTGCTGGTGGCGGCACTGCCTTCAGAGCTGGACAGCTGGAGAATGGCGGCTGCTGGCTGGGATCCCAGCTCTGAAGGCAGAGCGACTGCCAGCGGGAGTGCAGAAGTAAGGATGTCATGGTATGGTATTGCCACCCTTACTTGTGCGCTGCTGCCTGCAGAGCTGGGCCCTCAGTCAGCAGCCGCCACTCTCCAGCTGCCTAGCTTTGAAGGCAGCAGTGCAAAAGTAAGGGTGGCATAGTATGGTATTACCAACCTTACTTCTGTGCTTCTGCTGGTGGGGTGCCGCCTTCAGAGCTGGGCGCCTGACCAACAGCCGCTGTTCTCTGGCCATCCAGTTCTGAAGGCAGGGCAGAAGTAAGGGCGGCAATATCACGACCCCCTAAAATAACCTTGCGACCTCCCCTGCAACTCTTTTGGGTCAGGACCCCCAATTTGAGAAATGCTGGTCTCCCCATGAAATCTGTATAGTTTAGGGTAAAAGCACCCAAAAGACCAGATTTCACCGGTGGGGAGACCAGACTTCAGAGTCTGTGATGCATTTTTCATGGCTTTGAATTTGGTAGGGTCCTAGTTATAAGGAATTGCCAGCATGGATTTCTTAAGAACAAACTGTACCAAACCAACCTAACTTCCTCCTTTGACAGCGTTACTGGCCTTGGGGATAGAAGGGAAACTGTAGATGTGCTAAATCTAGATTTTTTTAATAAGGCTTTTGACACAGCCTACATGACATTCTCATAAGCACACTAGGGAAATGTGGTCTAGATTCAATTACCATAAGGTGGGTGTACAACTAGTTGAAAATCCATACTCAACAGGTAGTTATCAATGGTTCACTGTCAAAGCATCTAGGGAGGTCCCGCAGAGGTCTGTTCAGGGTCTGATACTACTCAATATTTTCATTAATGACTTGGATAATGGAGTGGAGAGTATGCTTATACATTTTCAGATGACACAAAGATGGGAAGGGTTGAAAGCACTTTGAAAGAACAGGATTAGAATTCAAAACAAACTTGACGAATTGGAGAATTGACAAATTTCAACAAAATGAAATTCAAAAAAGGCAAGTGCAAAGTACTACACGTAGGAAGCAAAAATCAAACGCACCACTACAAAATGGAGACTAATTGGCTAGAGGGTAGTATTCTGAAAAGGATCTAGAGATTGTAGTAGATCACAAATTGAATGAGTCAACACAGTGATGCAATTGTGAGAAAGGTTTATGTCATTCTGGGGTGTATTACACAGGTAGTAGATGTGCCGTCTTACTCAGCACTGGTGGGGCCTTAGCTGGAGTAGTGTTCTGGGTGCCACACTTTAGGAAAGAGGTGGACAAACTGGAGTGAGTCCAGAGGAGAGCAACAAAAAAGATAAAAGATTTAGAAAACCTGACCTGTGAGGAAAGGTTAAAAACGGGGCATGTTTAATCTTGAGTAAAAGACTGAAGAGTAGCCTGATAAGTTTTCAAATATGTTAAGGGTTGTTATAAAGAGTAAATGGTTTACAATGAATAATTTACCCAACATATGTAGCTTCTTCCTCATCACAGAATATCCATGAGCAGATTGTAGTTTTCTGGAATGACAAATAACAATGCTTGGAGTGGATTTTTTTTTCTGTGCATTGATCTTCAACAGTTTGCTGCAAGTGTCTGATAACTGAGCTTTTGCTATCTTGTGATTGGTCAGATAATTCACATGGTATTTTCTTTTCCTTGACTGGATGAGCATGCGAGCATTCTTAATGGGAATAGTCACCCAGGTAACTTGGCAGTTAGCA